AATGGCGAAAAAATCGTAAATTTTAAAAAACCCTAAATTACGGCCATTAGAATAATTTTTAGCTAAATTTCGATGGCATATTCAGAATCTACATGAAAAACTGGTCTAGAAACACTCTTTCAAAGTATGATGGATTGATACAGAGTCTCGCTATGGAGAGTTAAATAGAGGGAAGTCGAGAAAATGAGAATCGCTAAAACGGGCGTTTTTGAATATCGCTAAAATTCACCCCATCTTTGGGGGTCGATATCTCGCGAACGGGGCGTCGGATGGGAAAACCCTTCAAATTAGTTTCTTATAATGATGTAAAGACCCCGTATACCAATTTTCAGCCAAATCGGAGGGGGTCGGGTTCCGAGCCTGGCACAGTTGACGTGGAATGACCCTTGTAAGAGTCTAACAAGGCTTATAACTGCCCTCGATAATATATGTAGCGTGTATACACTTCGATAGACGTGTTCCCTAAGATTTTTGCTGATGTCCCTTAAACGTCGACTTTTGAAAAAGTTTTTTTTTAACTATGAGCGCATCCTCTAACTAAAACCAAACCGGGGTTAAAGCCTCCTCAATAACATATCAAAAGCTCGTTTTAGTTAGACGATGCGCTCGGTGTCAAAAAAGCCGCGGAGTGATAGAAAAACACGAATTTTCGCTAAAATACGCCTGCAGACCTATGTTTAGGCAACAGTTTAACACCAATCCAGTGGCCTATGGACTAAATCATGATTATTTCCGTAAAATATATTGAGTCAACTTGGAAACCCCGCATAAATTTCCAGATTCTAGGGGGGGGGGCCAAAAAAGGCCCTTATCGATACCCCTCCTTTGGATTCCTTGCGGTCAATTCCCTAGCTATCCCCGCAATCCTGGATTTCGTACGACCCTTAACCGAAAAAAAAGGCCTGGTACTGTAGGTCTGGGCCACCCTGTATATCATTTTGACGAATCCCTTGGACTTTCAATGTTCATGGGCTGTTTTTTATTAGTTAGCAAACTTTTTTAAATACCTGACCTTTACTTCTTCTGCTGCGCACCCTCAGATACAATTTAGATGAAGACGTGGACCTGGCAGTGATTGTGAAAGATTTGACCAAGAGAGTCACAGGAGCTGATATCAGTGCTATTTGCTCAGCAGCGTGGTTAAATGCAGTAAGACGCCTTATCACCAATCATGAATCTGATGGTGAGAATACTTTTCCTACCTATTTGGTTTTTATGATCTCAAATTGTTATCCGTTCTCACATACACCGCAGGCTGGAATAGGGAATTGACCCCAAGGAATCCGAATTTCATGGTCCCGAAACCCCCCCCCACTCCCCCCTTGGGAGGTAAAGGGGGGGGTCACGATGCTAAAAGTCACGGTTCCCGACCGAATTTCGGATTAATAGCATTAGAATTGAAAAGCACGGAAAATTTATCGTGAAATTAACCCCTAAAAATCTATAATCGGCCCATCCAAGGCCCAAAAATGACTCCCTAAAGAGGGGGGCAGTACCCCCCTCCATAATTTCTCTTTGGTCTCAAAATTGACATAGATTCTCCAGAAAAAGATGGATTCCCAGGTAATCAACCCTGAGAAATCCAAATTCCATGGTCCCGAAGCTCCTCTAGCCTCCCTTGGAGGGTAAACGGGGGGCCCAATTTTAAAAATCGGGGCTCCTTTCCGAATCGCAAATTGATTGCATCCAAATTGAGGAGCAGAAAACTTTTACATCTTAAGTGACCCCCAAGAGTTTGAATTGACCCCCCTAAACGGCAGAAAGTAACCCCTGAGGAGGGGGGCTTCGCCTCCTCCAAAAGTTTCTCAAGATTCCTTCTGGTCGCAAAATTGACGTCGATTCTCCAGGAAAAAAAAAAAAAAAACTCCAAGGGTTACTTTCTGCTGTTAAGGGGGGTCAATTAAAACTCTTGGGGGTCACTTGAGATGTAAAAGTGTTCTGCTCCTCTATTTGGATGCAATCAATTTGCGATTCGGAAAGGAGCCCCGATTTTTAAAATTGGGCCCCCCGTTTACCCCCCAAGGGATTTAGAGGAGCTTTGGGACCATGGAATTTGGATTTCTCGGGGTCGATTCCCTGGGAATCCATCTTTTTCTGGAGAATCTACGTCAATTTTGAGACCAAAGAGAAATGATGGAGGGGGGTACTGCCCCCCTCTTTAGGGGGTCATTTTTGGGCCTTGGATGGGCCGATTATGGATTTTTAGGGGTCAGTTTCACGTAAAATTCTCCGTGCTTTTCAATTCTAATGCGACTAATCCGCAATTCGGTCGGGAACCGTGACTTTTAGCATCGTGACCCCCCCTTTACCTCCCAAGGGGGGAGGGGGGGGGGGTTTCGGGACCATGAAATTCGGATTCCTTGGGGTCAATTCCCTACTCCAGCCCGCGGTCTCCGACTTTGTACGACCTAAAACAACAGAGATAAAGGCCTGGTACGGGTGGTCTGAAACACCCTGTATACATCCATGCACAGTGCTCCTGAAGGGGGTTTAAATCGATGTCTGTCGTGAACGAAAAATTTGAGCTGAAATGTCAAGAAAAGCATCCTCGGCTACTAAAAACCACAATTTCCAAATAGGTTGTTGGAGCTCCTGGAGAAATAATCACGATTTTATCGGTTTCTTAGGCTGTTTTTGGATGAATGGCTCATGTGAGGCAACTAAATTCCCCTCCTGCCACATTTAATATTGGATTGATCTCATTTTCTAGTATGTTATTCCCCTGTATGAGGTACGATTTTTCTGAAATTTTCATGGCGGAGAAAATTTCTTGTTTGTTTTTTATGTTTCCGTTACAACATTGCAAAGTTCCAAACTCTAAATTAGGGATTTTGCGAAAAAATTGGGGCATTTCTAAAATGGGAGTAATTTTAAAATGGTTTGGGGAAACTGTGTTAACTACATTCAAGTTAATAAAAAGTAGTGCTTATAAATTAGTTTTTACATTTGCAGCGGCACGCATTCATACCTCGCGAAATGCCTGGAGTCGACAGAGGACTCGACTTGTTAGAGTCATATTTGTGTATGTGGCGACATTGACGGAGACATTAACTTTTGATGCAAAAACCGTGCCAGTTACGTAAAATTGCGTAATAAGTTGTGCTTGCAGAACATTTTTTGTTTAACCCTTGCGCGGCAGGCCAAATGGCTGGAAACTGCAAAATCCGTAAATCAGGCTCGCGCGCGGCTCAACTTTAACGCCTATGTGACACGGGTTCGGGGTTATGATTTTTTTTTTTAATATGTTCATCACTAACCCAATGAGCCAGTTGGGCTGAATTTTTTTATTGCATACTATGAAAGTACTAGGTGGAGTGAGTATACTTAATTTTTTTCAGATTTTTTTGAGGACTCTGGTCTGAGAAATACCACTTTAAAAACACCTTAAATTGAAGGTCTCTGAAACGCTTTTGGAATCCGGGCTGTTGGCGCTACACGCTTGACGCCATTGTGTAACGTCACACGTTAGGTGACCCTTGGTTTATTCATAGAATAATAGCTACCAGAAAGGCAGCAGTCGGCCATCTTTGCTCCGATTCTTGAAATCCCCGCGAACCCCGCTTAGCCTACCTCGCGAGGAAAAAGAGCGAAGTCCGGCCGCTCTTACCCTACGTCTCCCTGCCGTCTCAAATTTCGCGGGGAAAAAAGAGCGAAGTCCGCTTCGAAAAAGTGACTATACGCAATCTTACGGGAGGATCTGCCAGTTACCTTTCTGTTAGCTATTATTCTATGGTTTATTTCGAATTAGTCCGAACGACATGGCTGCTGCCCGGTTTGTTTATTTAGCTAAAGTTTCTATTTTTGACAGTATATTGTGAATTTGGGGTAAAATTTTGACTGAAACACAAGTTCACTGAAGCACTCGGTTTGGTCCGAAACTAACTCCTTCTTGATGACAAAGGCGTTAAAGTTCACGAATTTTATTCGACAGGCGACCGCGACGGATCGGACTGAAATGAAACTTTAGGAATGTTCCTATCTCAAAGGGGACCATCTTTTGGGGGAGTCAAAATTTTGGGGCCCCCGCCCCCTCAGGGGGACGGAGGCCCCCAACTTTTTTTTCCAAATAGCAACCCCTATCTTGTGATACCTCATTCGAAAAAGCATAAAAAACTAAGAATTTTGGCGCAAACCGCAGATTAATTTTTGACCGAGTTATGATAGGTCAAAGGTCAAATTTGACCTATTTTTAACAAATCATAACTCCGGTCCAAATTATCGTAAGGAAAAAAATAAAACGAGAAAATTTACCAAATTGTGTTCACTTTTAAGTTAAAATTGCAGAAATCACTTCGAACTAATTTCAAGGGGGGGTTCAGACCCCCTATTAAGTCAATTCAAAGGTCATTCAATTTTCCCGCGAAATAAGCCAATTTCCCCTAGATTTACCTTCTTATTATCTCAGTAAGGTCAAAATCAGTTCAACATTACGTTGGCAAGTCCCCAAATTTCGGGAAAAGTTAAAAAAAAACGAAATCTAAACGGTCAAATTTAATCACCTTAAATTTCGTTTTTTTTTTTGTCATTAGAGGATGATTTATCTTTCAAGATCAAGTCTCTTAGTAGCTTGGTTTCGAAATGGGCGCATCAGTCTACTTACTTCTGAGACACCCCTTGTGGTTGCTTTGGCTCTTTCTGGACCGCAATGTTTAGTTACGATGTGAATGTTGTCGTTCTACATATAGCTACTGTCCTAAAGAACCTAAAATATATTATAATTACCTCCTTTTAGATGTCTTCTTTTTTCAATTTAATTAACATGAAAAGAAGGTTTTGTCTCCCTTGGATATTTGTGCACCTTAAAGTCATCAAGAGCTGTTCCTTCTTCTCAACCGTGAAAAAGTAGTTCATATGGTATTTAAGAGTTTCGGCTCAAAATGTTTCATCTTATCTCTTATATCAATTTTGATATCCATACATTTTTTATATTTATACATCAGCAGATGTGGTATCAGCTCGTGTCTTTTACCCTAGCAGAAAAAGTTATTGTACCCTCTTTTCTTTCCGTTTATTTACAGGAGGAACAATTTTTAGTGAGACAGTAGTCGTGAAAAAAGAGGATTTTCATACCTCTATCAAAGCTCTGTGATGTTGATTTAACTAACCAAGTCACCATTTCTTCAAGGGACCCAGGCAGAGAACCATGTCATGGATGATGCTGAAACAGGACATGATTGGCATTTCACAACGGTGATTCTGTATCTTCAAATGTTGCTTAATTAAACTCATTGAGAGAAATTGTAATCGATAATATTTTGTTGTATCGTTATTTGGTAAGGCCTTGTTGCTACAGCCAATTTTCAAGACATTTGTTGCGGTCTCGAATCGCACTGAGAGTTTTTGCCATCACCATCTCCACGGAACAGGGCTGTTCTCAAATCCTGTCATGGTTACTTGGAATTAGTATTGAAACTTTCATTATTAACACAACTAATTCTCCAAAAGTTGAATTTTGTTTTTATTTCCCTTTTTCTTTGGAAAAAGGTTCTGAGTGGTGTATGTATATTTTTTAAATTTTATTTTCTACTTTTTTCAACACTGTTGATCAGACATATTTTAACTGGAATGTCAGACTTGTGCTGTCGCTCTCAATGAGATAATTTTCAATCAATTGTGGAATCTGAGTTTATTTCTATATAAATTTTATTTAAATTATTTGGCAGAAAAATGTGTGCTCCTTCATTTTCAGTTCAGATCCCTTATTTCACGTGATATGTTCAGAAACTTATCTATAAATGATTCCTGTAAATGCAAATTTGGTATCCAACCTGAAAAATGCTTTGCATAGAACTATTTTGAACACAGTTGAATGATTCTCTTGTTCAGGATTACCTGTGAATACTTTAGAGTAAATATTTTGTCCCAAAAATAATGTGACTGGTTCCCTAACGAGTGAGAAAATAAAACGAACAGAATGCAACCTTAACGAACTTAAAAAGTAGCTTATTTGCCGTAAAACAACCCTTGTAAAGCTCAATTGGACGTAATTCTGCTAAACAGAACCAAGCGCCATAGAGGGAAGAAGGGGAATGCAGGTTGGATTGGCGGGTGCAGTCGGACGATGAGTTCGTTCCGTCTCATGTTCTTACTGCTTTTTATGGTGCTTCGTTCCTTTTAGCAAAAATACATCCTATTAGTCACCACTTATGTGATATTAAAGATTGTTTGATAATGTTTTCTCTTGTAATGGTTTGTGGCTAGTGAGTCGATTCTTGCAAGGTATAAATGATGAATAGTCATTAAAATTACTTTAAAAAATATTAATTTACTGAGGTTCCGAAAGGAACATTTTTACTTGTGTTATTTGAATGCTAGTGCCGCCACAGTTAATATCAGGTAATGGAATGGCAAAAGTTTTACCGGCTGGAACGGTTGGAGGTGCTCAGCATCTTATTTACTTTTTCTAACTAAGCTTTCTCTTGCTTTTTTAATCTTGATACAAGTAATCTTGGCATTGCAATTATAAGCGAGGGGGTATCTCTTGGTTTCCTCTGTACTACTTATTTCCTTTTCTGATGCTATCATCAAATGATAAAAATCCAGCATGAGCTAATGAGGATAAGACTGGCCAATGTATAATACTTCCGTTTTTAGCATGACATTTACTGAAATCTCTGGAGCCAATGATCTCAACTGGCCGTTAGTGCTTATGCTCATTAATGAAGAGCAAAACCCCCAGCATCAGTCAGCATCGGCAGGCCAATGACAGACATGTGGACTGCGTAGCAGACAGGAACCAAGCCACGTTAGATATTGCCAAATTTAACTGGAAATTTTATTTTTTACAAGAGATATGAAACCTCGATGATTTTTTGTGTGAGTTGACAATTAAACATTCAACGCTAAATCATTTATTGTAAAAACTCCCGTAAGATCCCATGTATTTGAGGTTATGACAAAGATAGCAATTGGCCATTTTCACTCCCTGCCCATCTATTGAACGACCGCTCCATGTGTGTTACGTTTTTTTGTGGACCACCACCAATCTACAGTTTCTAGATTGTTGTACATTACACTTCTCAAATACATAAGGTGTTACCAAGTAGGCACCAAATTACATTCAATGTATGGAAACGAGTGAATAGATAAGAAAATTAATGATAAAAAATGCAAGAATTTATTATTAAAATAATGAGTTGATTTCGATCATCCACTTAAAATTTGTTATAATGATTCTTTATTACAACAACTATTTACAAAAAAATGATTCATTTCGTTTGAAATAGTATCTGCCATTGTTCAGAACATTTTGTTAAAACTTTAAAAAGACACAATCAACCGGCAAAAAGACTTCTGATACAAAATAAAATATACAAAAATAATAGGAGTAAAAAATTTCAAGATTAAATTGATGGCTTGAGTTGGCAACCATCAACTCTGTAACATTCATCGGGAATCATTCGATTCACTGTTATCTGAATCAATAAATTCAACATGTGTGAATGGAAAATGGCCTGTTTTGCCATTCAATTCACCCTCCCATTGTCCATTGATGTTCATCTTTGTAACCTTGATTATATCACCAACTTCTAATTTAAGTGCTGTCTTATCATAAGCATTGGGCACTCGAACTTGCTTCACTCGTGCAAAAGCAGGTAGCTTGCGCTGAAACAAATCAAGTACAGCGATGAGAATTACAGTTCATTTCTCCTTTAAAAAAAAAAGTAATAGTTAAGTACATCCATTTTCAACTGAGCAATTATAATTTTCTCGCTCCCTCATATTTTCAAAAATTCACTGGAGAGCGAGAAATGAACCTAGAGACCTCATTTTTTTGCTGAATATGTAGGTAATTGAGTCTACTTTTTAAAGGACTACGTGCAAAACGGGCCATTTGGGGCTCGGGGCGGATACCTTTGAGACTTGCCCTATTCATTAACCTAACAATGCCTCACCTTTTCCCAAAGTTTCAAGCCCCCCAAAAATTTTGGGGAGACGCGGCGGAGGGTCAAAGTTAAAAACCGGCAAAATTTTCGCGAATTTATTACTCGAAAACCAAGAAGTGTTGGGAAATGCGGTTTAAACGAGCGTATTCAGCGTGACAAGAGCTTTCAGAAAATGTATAACATCATAGGGTTTTGTCAACTTCAGCTCGAATTATCGCCTCCGAAGCGCCGGAACGCTCAAAAAAGACCCCTTATTTTTTCACGTTTGGGCCGATTTAAAAAAAAGCCATTTTTTTATTTTCGTGAAAAACTGATATATTGTTCCTGACTCTCTGTAGCCCCTCTAGCTCTTTACCGCATGCTGGGGAAATGTTTTGTTCTTGAGTTATGAGAGCGGAAAGGAGCGAAGGTCGGGAAAATCGGCTATTTTAAACTGCGCGCGGTGACGGATTAGGAGACATGTGGCAACAATGCGAGGTCGGCAGAGGAGTGTGATTCGCCGAACTGACAAGTGGGAGGGGACGTTTTCCCTCCGATCAACGCCGCGCGCGCAGTTTAAAATAGCCGATTTTCCCGACCTTCGCTCCTTTCCGCTCTCATAACTCGCGACCAAAACATTTCCCCAGCATGCGGTAAAGAGCTAAAGGGGCTACAGAGTCAGGAACAATATATCAGTTTTTCACGAAAATCAAAAAATGGCTTTTTTTTAAATCGGCCCAAACGTGAAAAAATAAGGGGTCTTTTTTGAGCGTTCCGGCGCTTCGGAGGCGATAATTCGAGCTGAAGTTGACAAAACCCTATGATGTTATACATTTTCTGAAAGCTCTCGTCACGCTGAATACGCTCGTTTAAACCGCATTTTCCAAAACTTCTTGGTTTTCGAGTAATAAATTCGCGAAAATTTTGCCGGTTCTTAACTTTGACCCTCCGCCGCGTCTCCCCAAAATTTTTGGGGGGCTTGAAACTTTGGGAAAAGGTGAGGCATTGTTAGGTGAATGAATAGGGCAAGTCTAAAAAGTATCCGCCTCGAGCCCCAAATGGCCCGTTTTGAACATAGTCCTTTATGAGTTTGAATGTTATGGTAAGTTGAATCCAAGTAAAGTTGAAAATTGAGAATATTTGACCGGCATTTTCTGTATTTATGTCCATATAAAGGTCCCGATGGCAAAATACTATACATTGAACATGAAATTGCAGAATAAACAATTAACAACTAGCAACTACCTTGTTATCAAGGTATCAATCTGTAGAGAAAAAAAAAATATTTGACATTAAAAATGAGAGTAACAATGGTTGTACAGTTTGCTGTACCTAACTTTTTATAAGAATATAGGAGGTGGGAAAAACTTGCAAAAAAAAACCCAGACTGCTAGAAATTAGCTCTAAAAACATATAAAAGACAACGAAAATTTCAGGGATAAGAAAGGATCTACAGGGTATTCCATTTTTAGAATGGATGGCAAAATGCAGTGTAGGTAATTTTGAAGATGATGCGTTTGAAATCGTAGGGTTCATCTGACTCAAATATCTGGCTGAGTTTGTATTGCTGATACCCGGGAAGGTCCCGTCTTCAACCTCAGACCCAGTCAACAATTTGAACAATTTCTCGTTTTTGCCCCGTAGCCCCCCCCCCTCCAAAAAAAAAATCCTCCCACCCTCCCATCCGCCCATCCTCCCACCTATAATAGTTACCAGACCTATGTCGTCAATTCTTTCGTTCACGATAACTATCGTTGGATTTACGTTAGCCTATTCAAATTTTGTAATTTTGTCCATTTTGGTCTTATAAAGAACTGTATAGATTTTTAGTTAAATCGCACTTACCATTTACTGATAAACGGTAATTAAAGTAAGTGACCCACTTACACTGTTTTCCACTAATCTGTTTATATGAAAGTTCCATTCCTTGGTTTCCTTGGTAACCTTTGTTTGCTATCAGCTGATGTTTTATTTCAGTTTCTTTTTTTTTCATATTTATCATTGCTAGGTTAGTTCTAATTTTTTTGCGACATTTATTCTACCTCCCCCCAGCTCATTTTTCTAGCTCCATCACCCTCTCCCCTCAACTCATTTTTCTATCGATTTTATCATTTTTTTAATGGCATGTCTTGCTCCCCTACCACCATTGTTTCGGGGTCATAAATATTTTAGCGGCCTCTGGACCCGTGACTCCAGTCACGGGCATTTCGCTAGTACTGATATAGGTACCTCAAAAATACTTGAAGGGTATCAGAACATCATATAGATGGCCGTCTCTGCCAATTTGAATGATTACTTTCCATTAAACGGTCACACGCACAGTACTTGAAGCAGGGTTGCCATAGTCAGGGAAAACCGGTAAATGTCAGGGAATTTTAAAATGTCAGGGAAAATGATGAAAATGACGATAAAGTCAGGGGATAATGGTAAAATAGCCATTCTTTGCTTCTAAGATAAAGTCCGAAATTTCGAACAACTAATGTTGCGTGTTCGGGTTTGGAGGGGGCGATTTTGCGGACGAATTTACGCGTCGCCCTGCTCCTTCCCTTCAGTGGCGGATCCAAGGAGGGAGGGCATTGGTGGCATGACAACACCCCCCTCCCCCCCCCCTAGGGCCAAAAAAAGGAGAAGGAAAATACCCTGCAGTTAAAGTTGTAGATCGTTCTTTTAGCGTTTATTTGGTGTATTACATCATGGGTTCAACATTAAAATTAGGGGAACAAAAGGGCAAAAACAGAGCGGGTCGACACGCGGCCTCTTATGTTTCGAATCGTGAACTGGCGATTTCGGGTGGCACATATGACAAAGATGGTTAATTCAGCTCTGTTCGTCTACCGACGACCAAAATGAATCATCTCCATCATAACCCAAGTAGCATTTCTCAACGGAAAAATCACTATGCCTTTATTGCGATTTCATCGGCGATAAAATCGCCAGGATCATCAACATCTCAGCGATTATCCTCGATCTTATCGCGCTCTTATCACCCGACAATTTATCGCGGTATTTTCGAAATAAAAACCGCAATAAATGGCGATTTAATCTCGATTTTATCGACGAAAATTGATCATGATTTTACGGAACCAAAAATTGCGATGTGTAGCGATTTGATCGCCATATATTGCAATTTTGAATGTGATGATACTCGATTTTTGAAGCTTTTCTTTCAACTATGAAAAGCCTCTGAAAATTGAAGGCCGAATTTTTGCTTACTTACAAAATTATTAAAAACATTTAATGAAAAAATAGAAGTTTTAATAAAAATTCTAATGAACATTTTATCAAAATCATTATCATATTGTTATCAAATTTTCAGCGACTTTCTTTTGCCTCTTTATGATGCCTCTGAAGTGGTACAAAACAATTTTTACCATTTGAAACTACCATAAATAGAGTCTCCAAAAATTTGAAGCCCAATTTTTCAGTCACCCCCCAAAAGATATGCTAAATTAGCTAAAAAAAATCGATAAGAACTATAACTTTTGACCCTGCTAGGCTCTTCTAGGACCTACAGAAATATCCCGGGGTGAAATAATTCTTACACCCTCCTTATCTACCATGAAAAGAATCTCTAAAATTTTGAGTCCAAATTCTCATGAGCTAGCGAAGTCACTGCAAAAATTGGTAAAAAATGGAAAATAGTGTTATTGCCCACACTACTTGTCCCGTGGATGGACAAAAACACTTCCTTGTTTTTTATGGCCTGTACCATCGCACACTTTTTTGAGAAAGATTTTTATCATCGATAACGCAAGATAAATTCATGATCACCATCATAACGTTTGTCATTCGTGCAATTACTTAGCGATACAACCAAGACACTTTTACTGGAATATTTAGAAAAATACTGCCTCATTCACAAAATCATAAAGTCCGATTGGAATTTTGATCGAACGATAATGGTTGTGAAATTTTTATTCAAACCACTAAACTTTATCATAGAAAATCTCTTCACGATATCTGCTGAATTCATATATTTAGAATCGAATTGTCGATATTATGAGGCATCTTCAATTAAATAATTGATTAATGATGCCTCGTAGTAAAGACGGCGATCCTTAAAAATCTTAGCTTTTCTACGATTCATTAGGATCTATTGGATTCATAGACATACTTTCGATGTGATTGTATAGTAAAATCTTTCCCTAAGCACAATAGGAAGCTATCAAAAACCTACTTAAATGGGTAGAATCACTATTCGATATTTGAATAGTTTTAAAATATTATGAGAGAAGTTGAGCATTGATCCAATGTTTTTAAATGGGCGGTCGAATGCCCTATCCACTCGGCCATTGGTAATGCACGGACGGATAAGGAAATTAGCAATATACGAGGTTGTCTGCCAGAGAACCCTTCCACTCTTCCCGCTAGAAATGATTCAACATCCGCCCGCCAAGAGCTCATTAATCATTAAATCAATCATGTTCATGCAGTATTATTATATTTGTGTTCAGTACTTCGTAAAAGGAACCGCGAAAGATGGAAAGTGCCAGGATTCTCAAGTTCATGAACAACAAATATACAGGGTGATCCAAAAGTCCCTTCCACCCCCTCTAACTTTTTACTTAATTGAGGTAAAGATTTGAAACTTGGGGGATATTCCTAGGTCAAAGGGAGCTACTTTTTGGCCCCCCCTAAAATTTTCAAGGGGGCCCCCCTTGGGGGGGCAACGGCCCCCAACTTTTAATTTTCGAATGGGAAGAACCCCTTTGTGATAGCTAGTTCGAAAGAGCATAAAAA